ATATATATATATATATATATATATTTCTATGAAAATAACGTGCGTGAACAATGAAATAGTACGCTAATAATAGGATCAGTGAAACTAACAAAATTTATAATTTACATACCACGAACAGGAGCAACAGCAACACCAACAAAAACAACAGGCTTTTGAGGCTTGATCACTATGAGATGGAGAAGAATTTAGTGGTTCTTGTTGTTGATTTGAAGGTATATTTGAAGGTGTTGGTTGTTGGCGGCGTGATCGGTTACTGTCGAATATTGATGAGTTTTCTTGATTTGATTGGCGTGTGCTCATAATCTATTTCGAAATAAAAAAAAAAAAAGAAGTTTTTTTTTTAATAATACTTCTATATTCTTTCATTTTTTATTTCTTACTTTACGGAAACAATTCTTTTGCACTTCTTCGACTTGACCGACAAAAGCCTCTATGAGCCGGAAAAGGATGTCGGCAGCTGAAAAAATCAGCACCGAATAAGGCGGTGAAGATAAATAAGAATAGCAGCGACAATGTTGTGCTGCTGATGCTGTTAATGAAGTACTTGACAATAAACTTGATGCTTTTTTATTCTTCCTACAAAACCAAAATAAAAATAAACAATAGAATTATTAAAATTAAATGACTTAAAAAATATAATTTGATGGACATAAAAACAAATAAGATAGAAATAATAACATTACGTATATTATAATCTTTTCTTATTTATTATATAAAGGATAAGAAGAGTGATCAATGCTATTATTATAGTTCTCATATTCTCGCGTAGGCCTCTTTTCTGTTCTTTTTTTTCCCCTCTCTCTCTCTCTTCTTCTGTTTCCAATACAAGAAAAGAAAATCTATACAGGACTTTCTTTCATTCAATATATGTATGAAAAAAAAACAGGCGCTAATAGAGACAGTTTGATGTGAGCAAACGACTTGCAAGTTAATATCATTGTTAGATTACTCGGCTTATTGCTTCTTCTTCATTTTTTTTTCGTCATTTCTTTCTTCCTTTTTTAATCACACGCATATATTCAGATCGCGTCATCTGGAGAGATACACACACGTTTATAGGATATGAAGTGTAAATTTACTTTAATATTAGAGAAAAACATGGTGTGATATTTTACACAAGTTAATAGTTTAAACGAAATTTATTTCTTTTTTTGTCTTTCCTTTTTTAATAAATAAAAATGTTTTTTCTCTATAAATATACATATGATAAGAGTAGAAAAGGTATGTATATACAATAAAAAAAAGAAGTCTATCATACCTAATTGAGGAGCATTTCAATATTTGAGAGGTCTCCTTGTAAATGATGAACATAATACAATGATCGCCTTCGTTTATTGTTAGCTTTCATTGAAATGTCTAAAATAAAAATGAATCTGTGTTAATAAGGGCTTTTTTCTCCATAGTCTTTTTATATTTGTTTTGATTATATTAAAAGTGAGTAGTTCATGTATAACGAACAAGAAATAAGATGCTTTGCACTAACTAGACGTGCTGTTTTCTTATCATCGCTTCTTTCTTTCTTTTTTTTACTATCTTTGTCTCTTCTTCATATTTCAACACGACTTACCATGTAGCGTAGGAAGAAGAAAAAAAGAAATGAACAACGGCACAGGTTGATCTCAAACTTGAATGATTGAATATAGTATGTTGTGTATGTGCCAGTATGTGTATATTTAAATATATCTCTATCTATTGAATCAAGAGAATAATCGACAGATACTGATCATCATCTATAAAAGAAAAAAATAATCTTATATGAATGAATGCATGTTCAATCAGCTTTTATATCTCGTGTTTGAATTCTCTTTAGACTCATATTACCTGTATGTCTGCAAGGGACTAGTTAGTAGAAAGATTCTTTGCACCATCGTCATCATTATTTATTGTTATAGTAGCAGTAATAATCGTGAACAGAACAAACAGACGCACACATACAAACACACACACACACACACACATACATACATGTAAGCGAGAGAACAGAAACTTGAAGGAAGAAAAAGAAGAAATAGGCGAAGATGATGATGATGATGTGCTTCTACCATCATCTCGTTCTATTCGAAAATCCCAGCAGTCAGTTAGCAATTATACCAAATAGTAGAGAAAAATAGAGACAGAGATGAGTGGCGCACGAGCCCGCTCATCAATCAGAAGGCGTGACAACTATCGTTGTCATTATCGTTAAGCAAATGGACAAATAATATAGATAAGACAAGAGTTTTTTTAATCAAATAATATTATCTAAACAGGAAAAATATCGATTATTTTAATTTTTAGATTTTTATTATTTGATAATTATGATATCGAATACTGAAAAAAAACGAAGAAAAGAAAAGAAAGGAAAAGATTAGTTTGGGTTTTTTTTTCTTGTCTCTATGGATATAAGAATTGTGTGTGTTTCTATGAAGTAACACACATATTCTATTAGACAGTTAAGACTCTGTTCGCTTAGAATCGGTGACATTTGCCAGTTGTTAAGTAAGAAATATTGTTGTTAGTAGTAATATTATTGATTGAACCAATTGATCCATCTTTTTTAATAAATAATCTAATCAATAAACATCTTTTCAACTGATATAATTGAGTTGTTTATCAATACGAGCTACAAACATACAATGACAAACTTGTTCTACACCTTACTTACTCGAACAATAATGTTCATTCTTTTCCTTTTTCCTTTCTTTTTTTTCATTAAACAAATGGGTAAGCAAGTGAATACTATAGAGAAAGAAGAAGAAGAAGAAGAAGAAGAGAGAAAGGACCGTCAAGTAATTAGTAGGGAAGAGAGAGAGAGACTTCGTTTCTTTGTTGTTTTCTTTTATTCGCTCTTTCTTTTTTTCTGTTTTTTCTAGTATTTCAATCAGACAAAACAGTTAAAGCAAAGAGCGTGATTCCACCTGCTAAAGTATAAAAGGAAGAAAAGAGAAAGAAAACTATCTTGTCGATGACGAAGACGACGATTCATATGAGTCGAAGATGTTGATTACAATTTCTATAACTGTAAAAGAAAAAAAGAAGAAGAAACGGAAGATGCCATATATATATATATATATATATATATTCAGTTAGACGAGGTAGTAGACTTCATCTCGAACATGACCATCTCAAATTTCTCGAGATATTAAATTTAACACGCAATCTAAAAAACAATGACAATGACAACATAAAAATATTGTTTATGCCGATTGTATAGGTTGAGATTCTTGATAAATGTTTTTAAATAGTTGTCATCGATGATAAACTTACTTCAATTCTTTTCCGCAAATTTTTTATTCCTAAGTCAACACATACAAAAATACACATACTCCCACATGGCATTGATGATGCGCGAGATGGCAGCGTAGTCCGATGATGTTAGACTAAAGACGCAGTAGGAACAGAAAGAAAGAAAAGATAGAAGAGAAAAAAAAAGAAGAGAATATGGCAGTTTTACCATCATTCTGTAGTAATTTTTCTTCATCAGCTTCTATCTGTTGATGTTGTTGTTGTTTATGATTTTGGCAAGCATTTTGCTCTTCTCTTTCTCTTCTCTCGTTTTTTTTCCTGACTATGTGTATGCTATGGAGGAAGAGACGGAGGTCTTCTCTGTCTGTGCATCTTACCATCCATCCATCTATCGACGCCGTCGTTCTCTCTTTCTCCCTGTCTCTTTCTCTCCCTCTCTCTCTCTTCTTTTTCCCTTTTGTTACACACAATGAAAATTGACATGAGAAATTAGAAATGACGGAGAAACGACGACGACGGCGACGAAGAAGAAGAAGAAGAAGAAGAAGACACTGCTTCTCCCTCTCATATTTTTCCGCACCGTCTCTCTTTTTTTTCTCTTTTGCTCGAGCTTTGAGTGTGTCTGCGGGAAAACGCGTCGACATACTCTGTCAATAGTACGAAGCTTGACTCGAATATACACAAAAAACACAGAGGAGGAGAAAAAAAGAAGAAGAAAGAAAGACAGAACAGAAGTCGACTGGCGTTGCCTTGTCATTTTGAATAAAATGTGAGAAGCAAACAAGGTCCACAGCTCAATTTGCCGCGCGTTCTTTTTCTTCGATTCTTAGGCGTTTGACTAGAGGAGAAAAAAAAGAAGAAAAAAAACCAACATCGACTATTCCAACCACATTCTTTCCTTCATTTAAAGGTTTAGGCTGATAGCAAACTATTAATATTCGATGCCGATGGGAGATAGAATAGACACAAGAGATGTTGTAATCTGTTATTAGTTTTTCTTTTCATTTCCGTTGTAACACGCATATAAAGAAAACGCCAGCTGTGTTTCATACAACACACACATGTAAAAAGGAAAAACAAAACTATCATTTATGTTTTTGTGAAACAATTGTTTGTTCCCATATAAAATCAGTTTTTCGCTTCGGTTTTTGTTTTTGAATATGAGGTGTTGTTGGTATCGTTGAAGATCTTGGCGTCATAGTTGGTCGATACTCTTTCAAAGCCGATAGAGAAAGTGGTGGAAATTCTTAAATAAAAAAAAATATATATTTTGTATAAATAAATTTCCATTTCATATAATCTACTTTGTCGATGTATATTTGAAGTATTGGATTTAGTTGAAAGATTAGATTCTAATATAGCTTCTCTTTTAAATAATGATTCAATATTTTTATTATGTACATTATGATTCTTTGTTTTATGTTTTAATGATTTCACAGAAGTATTTGGATCTTTTAAAAATGTAACATGATATTTTTTTTCTCCATGATCAATATGCATTGAACGTTGTTTAGAATAATTTTGTTGATTATTATCAAGTTCTTTTTCTTTTGATGAAGATCTTGAATGTGTCTTTCAAAAAAAAACAAAACAAATCAATATTTGAAAATTTTCATTTTTAAATAACGAAATATTTACAAGTAATTTTTCGGGAAAATATCCTCGTACACTAAGACTATCATTGAATGATTTTAAACTTCTATTTGAACTTGCTGATTTAATTAAATTAGCTTTTTGTTCATTAAGTTTTGACGAATGGAATAATAAATGTGCCTAAAATAGCGATTATTATTTGCTTCAACAATATTTCTTAAGGCAAATTCATATTTTCTTTTTGTTAATAATAAATAAGAATATATTAAAAATATATATATATATCGCACATTACCTGCAAAGGACCTGATGTTGCATTATGATGTGTTGAATTGATATAATAATCAACAGCATTTATATCCGCATTATTTCGTACAAATTGTTCAAGTTCTTTATAAGAATAGGGTTTATGAGCAATTTCACCCCGAATAAATGCTTCATATGTAGCCTAGATTGAAATATATATTTTTATAACAAAGAAAAAAATATCGGCAATATCATAACGTGTTTGTTAGGTATTAAGAATAAGCGAAGTAATAATCAGCATACTTCAAGTTCGGTTTGCGATAGCGACTGCGTAGTAGTCTGATAGTGTTCCATCGAACGTAGTCGCTGAAAATGTTTTTCTTGTTGTTCATTATCAACTACAATATAAGGTTAATATCAAACCACACAAGATTAAAATAATATAAAATTCTACGATTAAATATAAACATATTAATTTTTTAAAAAAGAAAAAATATGATTAAAACTACGGAGTTATTAAACAGGAAATTAAGTTCACTCTTTTTCTTTTTTTAAAGAAAATTCTATTTATATGAATTCAATTTGTTTCCTTTAATTACTAGAATATCTTTTTGTTTTCTAGTGTACATTAACCTAAAGGAAAAAGTATGTAATGCATTTCGATTTTATATAGCCTTTTATTCTTGCAAATATACTCATTAATAAAAATGCACTAGCGTGAAAAACAAAACCTTTTCTAGGACATTTTCATTTTTTGGATTAACTAAGTTTTGAAAGCAATGTTATTATTGAAGCAAAAAACCGGATATCCGTCTGTAATTCTAATGAATAATGCAAGGTTTAGTTAAATAAATCAGTTATTTTATATTTATTTGAAGAAAAAAACAAAATAGAAACTTCTGATGTTAATCGAAAGGATTCTTATTTTTATTACTATATTTTTCAAATAAATTCTATTTTATATAATGACGCACAAGGAAAAACAATTTAAGAAGTAATTAAACACGATAATAACAAGTACTTTACAGTAAGCTTATATGAAAAAATATATACTTCGTTGAAAAAATGATTAGCATCATTTTGACTTTTAGTTTAAATAATACGAACATTCTACATCAATGAACTCTAATAGATAGTTCTGAATGAAATAGAGGTCATGAAAAAATTTTGTATGGTGCATGTCATTTCCGTAACATTATTGATTTCATTAATCTCACTTTATGAACCTCGACAGTGCGTGATAATACACAATTTTCCTTCTATAGATAAAGTTTTTCGAAAGTTTCGAACATCAATATATCTCTCACAGCTATAAGTCAATTATTTGATTCAATACTGTATTACTAATTGCAACTAAAAAATTTCATAGTTGCCAAATCTATTTATATACATCATAATATTACATAAAATTAACATACTATTAGTAGTTTTTTCTATATCACAATTGAATAGTAAAAAGCATTCAATTTTCTTCTTCTTCTTTCTTACCATTTAATAAATCTTCAATTGTTAAATGTCGTTTTGTTTCAAATGGTTTTGGACTGACAAAATCAATGGCTGTTTTACGATCAAATACTTTAGATAATTTTTCTAATAGAATTCTTTTATCCGTTGGCAATTCTTCCTATTTTAAAAATACAAATAAGCATTTTAAATAAAAATATATGTATTAGACTAATATTGCCTGAATGTCTAAGTTGTTTTCATTTGTTGTCATTTTAATGTTATGATTAACTTAATAAAAAAATTGTCCCTAAGCCATTATTTTTAATATTTCGTTTCTATCGCGACAGAAGGATTACGAAATTTTCTATGTTCGAAATTTAACGACATCTTTGATTTTCGATTAACCAATTCGAATCGAATTATATATTAAACAAAGAACACACCGGGAAAAGAACAAAGCCATAATATCATTATTTCTTCTTCTATTCTGTTCAAAACAATAACATTATAATCGAACATCATTCATGAACAATATTATAGATTGAATTATTTGTGTTTACTATTCTACCTAATATTGAAGAAAGTAATATAACTGGTCATACATATTCGAAGAATTTTTTGTTTGAAACTTATAATAAAACTAATCAAAGATAGAATTGTTATTTATCAGGTATAGTTCTTCATATTAACAAAAATGATTATTATTTTAGATTATTTTTTTAAATAAAAAACAAAAATGGATATTGCACAACAAGTACCACAACATCCACGTGTACGTGATGTTCTTGCTGATCAATGTCAACGATTATTTTTCGAATATCTTGAAAGGTATGTAATCGAATATGAACAATGAAAACTATTTTTATTAATTTAGTTTCGATGATAATGAAAAAAAGACAATGATTGATGAATTATGTCAACCACAACGTTCAACTGTATTAATTAATTATCGACATTTATCAAATTTTAATGATCGATTAGCACGTGTTATTCAAGATGAATATTATCGGTAAGAATAATAGAAAATAAGAATGAATAATTTTATTTGTTTTTTTTTTAAATAGACTTTTACCAGCTTTATCACGTGGTCTTAAACAATTTTTTCGTGAACATTTACCAAAAATTGAAATGGAAGCAGAAAAACTTGAACGATTTAAACGAACGGTTTTAAGTGATAAAGAACTTTATGTGGCATTTAGCGATGTTCAAATGCGTTATAAGTATGTAATCCGAAAAGATTTTATGTATTTAATCCAAATCATCTTGAGCGTGTGTGATAAATATAATACTCACACTCTCAAGATTAAAATCTAGAAAATACAACCAATAAAATTCATCTTATCAATTGAGTTACGAATACTACATATTCAGCTAGCTGTCAGAATTTTCAAAACGATACAAGGTCATTTAGTGTATCGAATTGCATAGAAATATAATTTTACTAAAGAAAATTGTTTTGTTCTATGTTTTTTATTCTTTGTTTAGACTTCGTAATTTAAATACATCAAAAATGGGTATGTTAATTCGTACAACAGGTCAAGTCATTCGTACTTATCCTGTTCATCCGGAATTAATTTCTGCAACATTTATTTGTTCCGATTGTCAAATGGTTTGTCCAGATGTTGAACAACAATTTCGTTTTACTCAACCATTAATGTGTCGAAATCCTGTTTGTAATAATCGTGTTCATTTTGCATTAGATTTAACACGTTCACGTTTTGTTGATTTTCAAAAAGTTCGTATACAAGAAAGTCAATCGGAATTACCACATGGAAATATTCCACGTTGTCTTGATATAATTATGCGTAATGAATGTGTTGAACAAGCTAAACCAGGTGATCGTTGTGATTTTATTGGAACATTAATTGTTCTACCAGATGTTAGTCAATTATCAATGCCTGGTGTTCGTTCGGAAAGTGCACAACGTAGTCATGGTTCAGATGATAAAGGTTATAATGCTGAAGGTGTACGTGGTTTAAAAGCACTTGGTGTTCGTGATTTAACATATCATTTAGCATTTCTTGCTTGTCATATAACACCAGCTGAACAAACTAATGTTGATACATTATTAAGTTCAGATTCGAAAAAGAAACGTATTGAAACAATGATGTCAGATAAAAATTTATTTGCTAATATACGTACAAGTCTTTTTCCAACTATATATGGAAATGATGAAATTAAATCAGGAATTCTATTAATGTTATTTGGTGGTGTACCGAAACGTACAATGGAAAAAACAACTTTACGTGGTGATATTAATATTTGTATTGTTGGTGATCCATCAACAGCAAAATCACAATTTTTAAAGTAAAAAAGAAATTAAAACACTTTCTATTTTATTAAATTTATACTTCTAGGCAAGTATCAGAATTTTCACCACGTGCTGTTTATACCAGTGGAAAAGCTTCAACAGCTGCTGGTTTAACTGCAGCTGTTGTTAAAGATGAAGAATCAAGTGAATTTGTTATTGAAGCTGGTGCACTTATGCTTGCTGATAATGTAAAATATATTTTTTTAGTGTCTATAGAAAAAATTAGGTTTCGTTTTTCTTTCTTTTATAGGGTATTTGTTGTATTGATGAATTTGATAAAATGGATCCTAAAGATCAAGTTGCTATTCATGAAGCTATGGAACAACAGACAATTAGTATTACAAAAGCAGGTATAAAAGCAACACTTAATGCACGAACATCAATCTTAGCTGCAGCAAATCCTATTGCTGGACGTTACGATAAATCAAGATCATTGAGACATAATGTTAATATGTCAGCACCAATTATGTAAGTTTTATAAAATACTATATCTGAAAAATCTGCATTGAGGATTGATTCATCGAAAGTTATCTTATTATCCGTTCATGTTTTAAGTTAGATATAATCTAAGCTCTGTCGATAAATTCGTATTGCACAATGAGAATTATCATTGAGTTACAATATATTACACTAGTTGATCTATTCAATAGAATAAAATATAATCTTTGATTTTCTCATTCTAGGTCTCGTTTTGATTTATTCTTTATTGTCATTGATGAATGTAATGATGTAACTGATTACAATATTGCTGAACGTATCATTGATTTACATACATCTGGAACTCGTTGTTCAGTTCCATCACTTGTAACGGTATATACATTCAATGAGATTCGAGATTATATAACATATGCAAAAGCAGCTGTTCAACCAAAATTAACTCCAGCTGCTAAAGAACATATCATAACACTTTATAAACAATTACGTTTACGTGAAACTTCATCAGCAAGTAATGGTCGTGTGTCATCATCATCAACACCAATAACTGTTCGTCAATTAGAAAGTTTAATACGTTTATCTGAAGCTATAGCAAAAATGTATTGTCAAGAAGATATTGATATACAACATGTTCAAGAAGGTTATCGTCTTTTAAGTAAAGCAATCATACATGTTGATCAACCAGATATTGATCTTAATGAATATAATCGACCAACAAATACGGCAACAGCTCCAGTAGCAGAAGAAGCTATGGAAGAAGACATACAAGAAACAACAACAAAAGATGATACGAAAATATCTCTTGATGAATATAAACGTTTAACGAATATGATGGTTTATCAATTACGTAGAATGGATGAAGAACAAGAAGCGGAAAGTCAAGCTAATGGTACAAATATTGTTATGCCTGGTGTTAAACGACGTATACTTATTAATTGGGTACTTGAACAATTAGCTGATGAAATTAATAGTCTTGATGAATTAGCACGAAAAAAAGCAACATTAGATAAAATTATTGATCGTCTTGTTCATGTTGATGAAATTCTTATTCAACTTGATAAACGTACTGTTAGTCAATTTGGTATGACAACAGAGGCTAAAGATGGTACAAATGCTGAAGAAGAAGATGAAGATGAAGATCCTGAAGGAAATAATCTTTATCTTATTGTTCATCCTAATTATGTTGCTGATGATCAATAAAATATATACATACATATATATTCAATACAAATATTCTCTTATTTTTCTGTAAAATTTAAATAGATCTATATTTTTTTTTCGATAGAATAAATGAATTAAAAAAATGTTATATAGAAAAATGCTATTCTCTAATTTTTGTACACAATCATGTTGACTGATTTTTAATGAATGAATACAAATATCGATGGGAGTGAAGGATGCATTGATGATGTTATAGGTATACTACGAGTATTCTTTAAATGCAATCCTGAATATTATCTGAGTTCATATAGTAAACATACAAACACAAGTACCGAACTCATATTGACAAAAAAACATTAACTGCTACTTTACATATTATTCTTGATACGATGGAATAGATGAAACACTTTTAATTGATCAATATCGAAATCGATTGATACAGAAGTGAATAAAGATTTTCGATCTTTGTACATGCGTAGTCTCTTCAAATCAAGATAATTATTTGAATTATTATAAATAATCATTTTCAACAGGGAAATACGATACTACAGAATTAATCATGAGCATATTTGAATGAAAAACGAACTGTTGCTTTTAATATTATATTAGCTAAAACATGAAATGACAAACATTGAATTAACTATTTATGATTATCTAATCAATTCAATTACTTACTCATACTATTTTATTAATTAATGTAAGCTTTATCATTGGTAGTTTAATGAGTAATATACAAGTGGTTTAAAGTCAACATTCATTGAATGCATATAGTATTAGTCATGTCAATATTGTTGTTACTGCTTTCTTATAAACTTTTATCGGTTTTTAAATTTATTTTTCTACTGAACACAAAATGTGCTTATCGATTGTTTCGAATATGACGGTGTGGGTGAGGATGGATGCCGATACACTTGTCAGTGGATGTTAACTCCCAAGAACAAAATTTCAAATAGTAATGTGTTCACAAACGACATCTTTCAAGAAATATCTTTACTTTACGAACTAATGTAATTAAACTATGGACTATTATGGATTTAAGTTAATTTCGTTCATTTCTAATTGATTCTAATAATCTTTTTCTTAGTATTTACTTTGTATAAAAGTAGCTAAGAAAAAATAACTCATTTCATGGCAACTCAATTGTTGAAACATCGTTTATCATCTCTGATAGTTTTTACAAAACGTTCAGTGACTGTTCAATCTGATTTCGATTTGAGTAAACAAATGAAATTCCTTAATGACAATAAACAATTTAACAAGACACTTGAATTATTTGATAAACATAGAAAATCTAAAATTCAAACATTTTCTAGTTTTACCATTACACAAGCTTTAAAAGCATGTACGCATCTAGGAGATCTTCA